ATTGATGGAAAAGGCAAAAACTACATTTGTCTGTGACTGGAAACCCTTTATGGACTTTTTGCTGAAAATGGAAAAAAATGAACTTGTGATTTATGTGATGGAAAGGGTAGAATGTGGAAAGAAGGGAGCCACGCTGTAACTTGAGAGGATAAGATATAAATGCATTCATAACTGCTGTAAAGAAAATCAGAAGCCGCTTCTTTATATCTCTCTCTCTCTTTTCTGCTTTTCTTTCTTTCTTATTTACTTATAACTTTTTTCTACTTCCCTTTTTCTCCTTAAATTTGTACTGTTTTTATTTTGTAGATTTTCTTCAGTAAAAATAAAAATATCTAGTGACATATTTTGAGCTTGAAATCAGACAAACCTGTTAATTCCCTTCCTTTGATCTTTGCTGTCATAGAAATGTCTTCATCCTTTGCTGCCTTCCTCCATGACATTAATCTCTTTACTGCTCCAGCACACGATAGTTCTTTAACTATTCTTGAGCCCGCCTCACCAAATAAAGCTACAGCTTCTACTACCAGACTTTTAATTTCTACTTTTATAACAAGCACTTCTAAGATGACCTAATGTTCAGTGTAGAAAGTATTGTTGTCCACATATCAGGGGTGTCTGCAGGATATGGTCAAAAAGTCAAGATGGCACTTGGGACAGTAAGATTGAACCCTCACCTGGTTTTTATTTAATCATTGTATTTCAAATGGTTAGTGTTTAACTTTGATTCTAGTGGTTGCTCTTCCCATCCTGCCATTCTTAAAATGTATTTACTTTGTAAAGTAAACAGAAATGGGGACAATACGCATTCTTATCTCATTTCGTTTCCCAATTTTGAACTACTCCATTTATCCAAGCTCCTTGCATGTGGTCATTTGTTCATTACAATAGTGAGAAATATAATTCTAAATATATTTCACATTCTTGCCCTCTACACCAGAGTTCCTCAACCCTGGCAACTTGAGGATGTGTGGACTTCAACTCCCAGAATTCCCCAGCCACATCTTCAAGTCATCAAGGTTGAGGAACCCTACTCTACACAACCAAAGACCTTGCGGTAATCAATAAAGGTTAACCATCTTATTAAATCCTCGTTTTCTGTTACCCATCTTAGCTTATTTATTTCTTCATTTACTTTTGAGAGCCTGTGTAGTCTAGTGGTCAAAGTGCCAAACGAGGAACAGGTCTTACCATTAGCCAGAGAAGTGCAACCTATCGCCCATTACCATTAATATTACGGTAATACACCTTGTATTACAGTTAAATATAAGGGCATAAATACTAACTACAATACTATACTGACTTATTTATTTACTGGGGCTAATATGCCACTCCAGTGCAAGGCGATTCTGAGTGGCTGACAACCTTTCTTTCAGTAAGAAGATTAAAAATAGCAAAACAACGTAAGAACAACTGTCAATAGCAAACAACATTTCAGAAAGAACTATGGCCACTGAGGAACAATAAAGATGCAAACTCAGCTCAGAGAAGAGCTTTCAAATCATCTCAGCTCCCCACCCACCCAACACTCTGTTAAAAAGCCAGGTTTTTACAGCTTTCTTATAAGGCTTGGGGCTATTCTGATTTTGGGAGGTATTTCTGAAATCTGCTAGTTCATCTGTCATTTCTCTCTCCATGTAAAACCTCTATATAAAATTTTAAGAAACAATTTATTTTGCTTGAGGAATTAATGTAATGTTCCAGCAATTTGCACGTGCTTTTGTATCTCCCAGTCACCTGTTCGTATGGCTTTAAAAGCCAACGGCTAACCGTCGGCTAGAAAATCATTGTGATCCTATCATTTTTATTACCAGTGGGTCAAAATGAAACAATAGGACAGGCATTGACCCCTGCTTGCAGCAAATTAATTTTTAAAGGCTTTGGGGAAAAACGAAAGCTTGAAGAATTGACAGCCAGCAAATAAATGATCAAAAGTTCTAGCTGAAGGTTAACTGATGTCATGTGAACCTGAGTATTTTATTTCACAAGCCAAACAATAAAGCTCTTGACCTCCATGGAACTACACTTTCTAATGAGCAGCTGAACCACCGTTGCTTTATCAGGTATTTTGGATATATAAAATGGGAAGCAAACCTGTTGCTCCATCAGATGTTTTGGTGATACAGTGCCATTCTCCACTAATACTTCATTTTGCTATAAAATCACTGAAAGACACCACGTTAAACAAATTCTTCTAGCTCCAGAGAAGCAATAAAATATGATCGATATAGTCCAGCCCATATTAAACCAGTTTAAATTTATTTCAAGAATTAGGTACCAGTTTAAAAATTAAAGCAAACACTCAACTCTCTCCTTGAAAAGAATTAAGTCTGCTCTGGCTCATGGAGGCTTCATGGACATCATCTTTTATTGTTCTTAGCAACAGAAATAAATTATGACGAGCATCTGGCAATAACAAGACTTTTTTTCTGCTTTGCAGCCTAGCCTAAAACCGTAGGGTTTTCTGGTCATCTCCCAACCATACCCAACCCAGCTTAGCTTCCAAACTCTTAATTTACTTCACTGGGGCTGAACTGTCCTCTTTCATTCATCAACCTGCTACGCTTCATTAGATCCAACAACTATGACATTATCAACCTTGTCAATGCAGTAATTAAAACACTGAATGTGACAATGCCCCACTGCTAAATAATGTGCTTTGCCATAGTCTAACACATGCGCCAGTCTTGATATCCCCAGATTTCTCCAAGGAGCTAATCGTCCAGACGGACGCCTCTGGAGTGGGCGTGGGGGCGGTGCTGGCCCAAGAAATTGAAGGGAGTTTGAGGCCGATATTGTATCTCAGCAGAAAATTGTTGGTG